CATTAACATGCAAAAAGCCTGCACAAGTCAAGTCTCTTAGCAGAACTGAATTCCTCAATTCTTCTGGGTTGAATTCTTCTGAGGTTTGAGGATTGTAATCACAGTGATAATTTTTCAGTACTAAATGTCAATAAGAAAAAAAACTCTTATTTTTCCACTAATCTTTATTTTTCTGCTTACACACTAAGGGATATGACCCAACTGCAATTGATACTGATTCTAGAGCATCTCCTGATTAAGTCTGAATATGGAGGGAAGTCTAGACCCTGTATGTCAGACACCCTCTGGACAGTGTTTGTCCCTATGTCCAATCCCACTTTTCTCTCATGGGACTTACAGCACCTTTGTTTCAATCTGAGTTTTCTCCACACAGGTCTGTAGCTGCACGTTTCAGCCCATTCACACCAACTCCAATCTGCTGTACTTGGGAATCGAGGTGCACACAGACACAGAAGGATGTTTCTTAATTGCCAAAAACCAAAACCAAATGAAGGCACGGTTCAATAAAAAACAAAATACAGTCCTCTGCTCTATATTAATTCTACCTTACGTCCTCCAAAGTCCACTTTCCACACTGCAGGTGGCTTTAGAGCAATGGAAAATATATTTTCTGTCAAGCAGAGATACCAAGAAACCCCAGGGCATGCCCTGGCCCAGACTCTGTCCATATTCACTCACAGTCACTCACAAACTCAAGTCACGAGCTCCATCAGTTCAGAGAGGGAAGCAAAGAGACAGAAGATAAAATATGCTGTCTTCTGGATTTCCAAATCTGCACCCATCCCAGTATACCTGGGCTACAGGTGGGTCTGCAAGTAGGCTCTGCAGCATCTAGACCCACTCATTTCTCATTCACTTCCAAGAGGGGACACCTTGGGTGCAATTTTCCAGGCCTCCTCTTCTACTCAAGTGAGAAAAATGACTTGTCTCAACTGAGTTGCTTTGGCTCACCGTGTCTGTAACCAACTCCTGCTCAGGAAAGTCTCCCATCAGCTCGGGGTCACATTTTCCAGTCAAATGTGAGGGCTTCAGCTACCCCAGTGTAACTTGGAGGCCATAGCCACCACTTCGTGCGCAACTGAATCAACCCATGAATGAGGATGTTTGGCAAAATCTGAAACATATGCAGAAAAGTCATCGTTGTAATCAGTGTGTAAAGAAGATTTCATTTTTAGAATTTTTAAACCATTCTGTACATTCTCATACATTTTTTCATGGGCCATGGACAAGGATGAGCAAGCTGATGACACTTTCTCTCCCCCAATGTAAAGACGGATTGATACATCTGGTTCCATTTGATGGGTAACAGTTGAGTTTGGTCAAGTAGCCCCTGATTTGATTCCCCTCCACTATTGGCTGTTTTCCTCTAGAGTCCTGCCTTGAGGCACAATGCCATAGGAGAACCTCTTGGTGAAATATGAGGCAAAGAGGACATGAAGTATCTCAGCCTTATTGCCACCTACTCATACTATATTCAACTGTGACCACATATTACCCTTATTTCTTTTTGGACTGTTCCTAAAATTGTAAAATCTTTTTTTGTTGCCCTTGAATTCTCTTTCAAGTTTCAGATGATTTTTGATACAGAAGAATGCGGTGCTTGGAGGATGCTGTCCTTGAAGATCATGTACACTTGGTTTTGCTGCCCATCAGTGCTACTGACAGTGGGATCCCCAATAAAACTCCCCAGATTCGGCCAAATCTGCTCCACTGAGTATTGGCATCTGCAGTCTTCTATTCCCCTTCCTCACTGCCCTCAGGAGCTCGGATTCCGCTGTCACTGTCCCAACAGCCAGTCTTCACAGCCCTGACCAGCTCTTCCTTGCTTGCCAGTGTCAGCTCCAGGTTTGTGTTGCCCTTGTTGGCCCATCTGGCAGCTATGAAAACAAGCTGTCCCCAAACCGCCCGGACTGTTTGCATGCTGCTGTGTTCCTCTTCCAGAAAATGCTGGGGCCATTAAAGTCCCCAGTGAGGCCCAGGCTTCTCCAGCCAGAGACTTCCTTGGGGGGCTTTGGAAAGATTATGGCAGTTTCTCCATTCATGTCAAAACCCACAGGCGCCCTCTTCTCCTGGCTGAGGGCATCAGTGCACATTTGGGTCGTAGCACTTCAGGGGTAGCACCAGGCCAAGCTCTGACTTGTCTTAGAGAAACGTGGTACCAAGTGTCCCAGTCCCCATGTGTTCAGAGGCTTTGCTTCAGAGCAGATACAGGCCAGAGTTTGTGGTGATGGAAACATAAAGCTGAAATTGGATGCCAAGAGAGTGAGCAAACCGTGATGTCCCCAGTGCCAGAGAAGTACATCCCTGGAAAGAAATACTTTTACTTCAGTGATATCCCTTTTGCCTGTGAGGGCCTTTGTTGGAAATGAAGTTATCCCTGATGACAAGATTTACCCAAGCATACTGTGAAAATGATTGGTCTGTTCCTTGATTGAATCATCAAGAGAGTGGGTGAAGACCTCGTGTGGGGGCATTTGTGTTCATGCAATGCCTGCAGCTGTTGGGTAGAGGAGAGATAGATCTTGCTTCTCTGGTGGCATCTGATGGCTGATGCTTCAAATCACTCTGTCTGTGATGGTGTCAGGGGTGTTTGTCTTACACCAACCCTGAATGGGAATTGCTTTCCTGTAGTTCCTGTGCTGTCCCTGCCAGCCCTGACCTCTCATGAAGCTCTGTGGGCCTGGATTTGGACATGAGATTGAGTAGATTCCCTGGATTTGGTAAGGCAATGTGGGGATGAACATGAAACCACTGCCAACGTCGTCAGTGGCCATCTAGTAAATACAGCAGAAGGAGAAGAGAGAGACTGAGCTGTCCCTATAACACATGACTCCAGCTGCTCAGAGGAATAACTTTGCAAAATGCCTTGAACTTAATGAGAAGGGACAGGTTCAGTTGCCCTTATTTTGGGCATCAGCTGTCATTTCAGTTGGCCAAAGACAATTCCCAGCAGCCTCCAAGAGGATGCCCACAGATGCTGCCCTGCTGTCTCTGTGAACTGCTCCATCTGAGTTTGCAGGTACCTGCCCATGACTTCAGCCACCCCTGACACCTCAGCTGTCACCAGACATTTGTATTTGAACAGCTCACTCCTGGCCTCCCCCTTCATTAATTACCATGGGATCTGAGCCAAGGAGCTCACCTGCAGGAGCACGTTTAATGATAATATGAAGACAGGTAAGAGGAATCCCACCTCTTGAAATCATTGTGGCAGTAATGGCAGTGAGCTGAGTCTACTTTGAGTCTCAGGACATCAAACACAGGAAGAGATGCCTTGACTGGACTCAGCTGAATCCCTTCCCTCAGCAGGGGTAAAGGAGAGCCCTATCTGTCCCTGTCTGGCTGTCCTGCCTAAAGATGAGTCAAGAAAAGGTGATTATTCGAGCCAACTCTTTCCCTGATAGGGGAAATGCTACTACTGAAACTAAGAGTCTCTCCAGAGATGATGAAAGGAAAACCACTGATTGCATGAGGCTGTGTCACAGCAGGTTCCCTGGAGCTCCAGGGACAGCTGGAGGGAGCCCAGAGGGGCCACAGCAAGTGGCACCTTGGGCTGTTGCTGTGGTGCTGAGCTGGGCCGGGCTCCTGGGCCGCAGGGAGCTCCTGGCAAGTGGGCAGCGCTGCAGAGAGACAGCTCTGCCCAGGAGCAGCTCCTCTGCAAAGCGCAGCAGGGCTGGGGGCACTGCCTGCAGGCACCCAGGGCAGAGCAGCGAGGCACACACAGCTTCAAGGCAGCCTGGGCTGGGAGGCTGCTGAGAGCTCCGAGGAGGAGAAAGCGTCAGGGCCCTGGCCACAGTAAGTCTGGGGGTGCAGGGCAATGCAGCTGCAGCTCGGGGAGGGATCTGGGGAAGGCGGCAGAGCCGCCAGGAATCTGCCTCCTGCCTAGAGGAGGAGGAGGAGGAGGAGGAGGAGGAGGAGGAGGAGGAGGAGGAGGAGGAGGAGGAGGAGGAGGATCTGCTCCCGAGCAGGGCTTCCCTGGTGCCCCCTGCGAGGGCCAGGGCATGAGGGCTGCCTTCTGGCGGGGCCGGCTGCAGGGGTGTGCAGCCGGGTGTGCAGGCAGGGGTGCCCAGGGCTGTCCTTCCCAGCAGGGTCCCTGCACCCCAGGGGGCTGTGTGCTGGGGCAGGGACTCTGCCGCCTGCCAGGGTCAGCACTCAGCCTGCCCGGGGAGCTCCCCACGGCGCTGTGGGGAGAAGCTGTGGGGGGAAGGAGAGCCCCCCGCCAGGGCAGGCTCCTTCTGCTCTCCAGAGGCTGCTGCGTGGATCAGGGATGCTCACAGCTCCAGATCACCTCTAGGACATTGGCATTTCAAGAGGAAGTTCAAAGCAGGGGCCACCTTAATAATGTGAACCTTTGTAGGGTCTATGATCTCATGTTTCTTCTAAGAAAAAGTAGAAATGGACTGTGAAATTTGAATAATTCACTGAGACTCCTGAAATGTTAAACTGAGGGATCAGCAGGATTGCCAGAAACTTCATAAAGTGCCTTCACCTACTCCTCTACTTACAGACACAACAGCATGATTTTTGTTTGAGGGTTCTGGTTTTGCCTGCTGTTCTCCTTTGAATCTGGAAGTAGGGAATGCCCCTGGGCAGTGCCCTATTGCCAGGAGGGGTCTGCAGGGCAGAGCTGAGCACACAGAGGGTGGGGTGGGGGCTGGCAGCACTGTCAGGGCAGTGACATGGGGACACAGAAATGACTCCTGGCAGAAAACAGCTCCAGGGAGCAGAGAGCCAGGACTTGCTCCAGCATTCTCTTGACTCTGTACTAGGGCACAGGGAACCTTTTTTTTGTGAAAGATGAGAATTTCTGCCCCTTCAATGAATGTCTCCTCAGCAACATCACAAATCTGAGTTAATAAAAAGAAATGGAATATATTTCCCCGGAAGAAAGAGGAATATTTTTGAGGAGACTTTTTGGGAAACAGCATAAACTGAATAAAAGAAGTCTGTCCTAACTTGTCAATGTCTTCTAGTTCAACCTCCCTGCCTGCAGTGAGCAAATGTCCAACAGCAGCTCCATCACCGAATTTCTCCTCCTGGCATTTGCAGACAGACGGGAGCTGCAGCTCCTGCACTTCTGGCTCTTCCTGGGCATCTACCTGGCTGCCCTCCTGGGCAACGGCCTCATCATCACCGCCATCGCCTGCGACCACCACCTCCACACCCCCATGTACTTCTTCCTCCTCAACCTCTCCCTCCTCGACCTGGGCTCCATCTCCACCACTCTCCCCAAAGCCATGGCCAATTCCCTCTGGGACAACAGGGCCATTTCCTACCCAGGATGTGCTGCACAGCTATTTCTGTTTCTATTTTTGATATCATCAGAATATTTCCTTCTTACTGTCATGGCCTATGACCGCTATGTTGCCATCTGCCAACCCCTGCACTACGGGACCCTCCTGGGCAGCAGAGCTTGTGTCCACATGGCAGCAGCTGCCTGGGGCACTGGGTTGCTCAGTTCTCTCCTGCACACTGCCAACACATTTTCCCTACCACTCTGCCAAGGCAATTCCATAAACCAGTTCTTCTGTGAAATTCCACAGATTCTTAAGCTCTCCTGCTTAGATGCCTACCTCAGGGAAATTAGACTTATCATGTTTAGTGCCTGTTTAGTATTTGGGTGTTTTCTTTTCATCATGCTCTCCTATGTACAGATCTTCAGGGCCGTGATGAGGATCCCCTCTGAGCAGGGACAGCACAAAGCCTTCTCCACATGCCTCCCTCACCTGGCTGTGGTCTCCCTGTTTATCAGCACTGTCACGTTTTCCCACTTGAAGCCCCCCTCCATCTCCTCCCCAACCCTGGACCTGGTGGTGTCCTTTCTGTACTCGGTGGTGCCTCCAGCAGTGAACCCCCTCATCTACAGCATGAGGAACCAGGAGATGAAGGACGCACTGAAGAAGCTGATTCAGTCAGGTGTCTGTCATCAGGAATAAGCTGCCTGTGTCTCTTCAGAAGTCATTTGCAACTCATATCTGAAACCTTTTGTGCAGTAAGCATTTTATTTGTAAAGCTATTGTTTGTTCCAAAATGTCTGCATCCACTCCTCTACCTCACAGACATGAACCAGCCTCTCTGACCCAGAGCCCTTTCTACATGTGTCTGGTAGGACAGTACAGCTGGCCTTCCATTAAACATATCTATAATAAAAGAGGCTTGTCTCAGTGCCCATGTCTGGAGGTTGGTATCTTCTTCCAAAGCTGAGGTCAGGAACAGGCTGAAGGAATTGCCCCTCTGAGCGTGCTGCTGTGCTGGGGTTCTCCAGGGGTTCAGGGCAGGAGGGCATGGGGGGATGTGTTAGGGAATAGGCCTGTGCTGCCCCTTCACGTGGGGGTGCCCGGTGCAATGGCAATGATGGCTGATCCATGGGGATCTCCCTGGGACCATCTCCCCGTGGCTTTCAGCCACCACTGCCCTGCAGAGCAGCACCGCCAGCTCAGGGCCGTGCCTGAGGTGACATCCCGCGACAAGAGCAGACCTATTTCTGGAGGCACCAGTTTGGGCAGCTTTTCTCTGGCTGGCACAGCAGGAGCTGCCTGGGGAGCCCCCAGTGCAGGAGTCTTGTGCTGGGGAGAGGGACGGGCACAGAGGGGCTGCCAGCACTGGGCAATCAGGATCTCTTGGAGAGAAGAGCAGCAGAGAGAGGGAGACGCTGGCCTGCGTCTGCTCATGGCATGGCTGGCCCCAGCCCTGGGGCTGATGGGGAGGCTGAGAGCCCTCTGTGCCCCAGGAGCTGCTGTGACCTTCCGAGGGGCTGGGGCTGTGGGGTGAGTGCCCAGAGCTCTGCAGCACCCCCCAGCCTATCTCGCTGGTCATTTCCAGCACTGGCTGCTCACCCAGGTTTATGGGTGAGAGTTGCTGCTAAACCATCTCCATCCTCCTGCTGGTCTCAGTGCCTGTATGGGGGCACCGGCCAGCCCTGCCCGGCCTCTCTTCTGGCCCAGACCCTGGCAGACCCCAGAGAAGGGCTGTCTGTGAATCCCCACATGGGACACAGCTGGGGCAGGGAAAGTTGGATACTGGGGGAGGCTGCAAATTGTATGTTATGAGATTATGTCTTGCTGGGGTTATGGGGGGGACAATTAACTGATTGCTCTCACTGGCATCATAATTGGGGGAACTTGCCCTGGCAGCAAGTAGGCTGGGGGTATATAAGAAGCTGGGAGGGGACACAACTGGGACAGCTGACCTCAGCTGACCAAAGGGACAGTCCATACTGTATGACATTGTAGTCAGCAATAAGAACTGCAGGGAAGTAGGAAGGGGAGATGTTTATTGTGACAGCATTGTTCTTCCCAAATAACCGCTGTGCATGATGAAGCCCTCCTTTCCTGGAGATGGCTGAACACCTGCCTGCCGGTGAGAAGTAGTGAATGAATTTCTTTATTGTGCTTGACACTTGCACACAGCTTTGCTTTATGTATTAAACTGTCTTTATCTCAACCCATGATTTTTCTTACTTTCACCGTTCCAATTTTCTCCCCCCTCCCACTGGGGAGGAGTGAGTGAGTGGCTGTGTGAGCCTAAGCAGTCTACTGTGATTAATCCACAACATCTCAGCCTCTCTAGATCTCCCTGGATGGCAACTGTGCCCTCCAGCATATTGACCCTTAATTCCACAGTTTGGTGGCATCTTCAACGTTAGCGAGAGTGCACTCTTTCAGTTCTACCATGCCCTTGGTAAAGATGTTTGCCAGGACAGATCCCAGGGTGAACACTTGCTGTAGTCAATGAACTACTGGTCTACAGGGAGAGAAAACTTCATTCACCATGAACTTCTGAACCCCACCGTCAAACCAGGGGCCCCAGGGCCGGGGGCTGCCTCCTCGCCTCCGGCTCGCCCGCCCCCGGGCCCCCGTCTCCACCCCCGGGGCCTGCGGGGACCCGGCGCAGCAGCCGCAGCGCGGCAGGAGCGGCAGCGGCTCCTCGAAGGAGACGCCCCGCCGGCATTGCCGGCGCCCCCCGTCGCTGGCGGGGTCCCGGTGCCGCTGCCGGCCCCGCCGCCGCCGCGCACCCCCGCCGGGCAGGGGTCAGGGTGGGCTGCGGGGCCGGGCGGGGAGGGAGGAAGAAGAGGCGGAGGAGGGGCCGGGGCTGGGTCAGGGGTGGGCACGGCCTCGGCGCAGGGAGAGAGGCTGCCGGAGCCCGGCGGGGCGGGGCGGGTGGGTGAGGTGCCCCGGCCGCTCCGGGGGAGGCCGGCCCGGCGCGGGGGGAGCGGCGGGGGCCGGGGCCGGGGCCGGGGCCGGTGAGTGCGTGTGGGCGGCTGCCCGCCGCGGCGGGAAGCGCCGGGGAAAGCGCGGGGAGGCCCGAGGGGAAGGTCTGGGAGCGCGCGAGGGACGAGGCGGCGGCGGCTGCCGGAGGGGCTTCGCCTCTGCCCGCCGCCTCCGCGCCGCTCGGCGTGGCCGGGGCAGAAGGCGGGCCGGCAGCCCGGCGGCGCGGGGGGAGACCCCCGGGGCTCCGCAGGGGAGGCGGCGGCGAGCGGGGCCGGGCCCGGAGCCTGGAGCCGCCGCCGCGGCGGGCGGGGCGCTGGGGCGCACGGAGTGTGCGGCGCGGCCTCTGCGGCTGCTCCGGAGCCGGTCCGGGCGGCTGGGCCCGGGCGCTGCCCCGGCCTCGGGAGGGATGGCCCGGGGCTGGGTGGGCAGCGCTGGCGGAACGGCCCGGCGGCGGGGGGCTGTCCCCCGGAACGGGAGGGGGGGTGCCGTGTGCATCTCCCTCCTGAAACGGGAGGGGGGGTGCTGTGTTCATCCCCCCCCCCAAACGGGAGAGGAGGTGCTGTGTTCATACTGCCCCCAAACGGGAGAGGAGGTGCCGTGTTCATCCCCCCCCCCAAAAAAAAAAACGGGAGAGGAGGTGCTGTGTGCATCCCCCCCCCCCCCCAAACGGGAGAGGAGGTGCCGTGTTCATCCCCCCCCAAGCGGGAGAGGAGGTGCTGTCTTCATCCCACCCCCAAAATGGGAGAGGTGCACCTGTGTGTCCCCCCAAACTGGAAAAGGTGCCCCCGTGTTCATCCCCCCCCAAAACGGGAGAGGAGGTGCCGTGTTCATCCCCCCCCCCCCCCCAAAACGGGAGGGGAGGTGCCGTGTTCATCCCCCCCCAAACGGGAAAGGAGGTGCTGTGTTCATCCCCCCCCTCCCCCAAAAAAACGGGAGGGGAGGTGCCGTGTTCATCCCCCCTCCCCCCAAAACGGGAAAGGAGGTGCTGTGTTCATCCCCCCCCTCCCCCAAAAAAACGGGAGGGGGGGTGCCGTGTGCATCTCCCTCCTGAAACGGGAGAGGAGGTGCTGTGTTCATACTGCCCCCAAACGGGAGAGGAGGTGCCGTGTTCATCCCCCCCCCCCAAAAAAAAAACGGGAGAGGAGGTGCTGTGTGCATCCCCCCCCCCCCCCCAAACGGGAGAGGAGGTGCCGTGTTCATCCCCCCCCCAAAACTGGCGGAGGAGGTGCTGTGTTCATCCCCCCCCCAAAACATGAGAGGTGCCCCCATGTCCCCCCCAAAACATGAGAGGTGTCCCCGTGTCCCCCCGAAAATGTGAGAGGTGCCCCCGTGTCCGTTCCCCCACAAAAGGGGAGAAGTGCCCCTGTGTTCATCCCCCCCCCAAAACAGGAGAGGAGGTACCGTGTTCATCCCCACCTCAAAACGGGAGACGAGCTACCATGTTCATCCTCCCCCCAAAATGGGAGAGGTGCCCCCGTGTCCACCCCCACAATGGGAGAGGTTGCCAGATTCGCGTGAAAACCAGCAAAGAAGCCGGGGGTGGGGAGAGGGCTGGGATGGTGACACCTCCACACCCAGAATTTATTTTTAATGTCTGCATTTTGCAGAGAAACCACTCAGAAATCCTTCCTGCTGGGTTTTGAACATTCATTGGGTGCAGGAGCCCGGGTGCTCCAAAGTGAGGTGGCTGTGTTCTCACAGAAAGAGTTTTATTATGCAAGGAATTTCTGTGTTAGGGGGTTAGTGTTTGAGGAGAGCACCAAAAGAGGATGGGAATTATGGTGATTTCAGGTTTTATTATCTGCTAAAACTGAAACGCATTTGCAAATGTTGTGAGCCAGCTGAGGGAGAAGGGCAGTCAGTGATTGCCAGCATCCCCACGGAAAGGCTGTTAAAGTTACACGGCCGGGAGAAACAAACTGCTGCTGCTGGAACACTTCTGCTCAGCACACGCCGGTGGTGTGGGGCTCTGCCTGATCCCGCCGGGCTGAGGTTTTGCTACGTGTGAAGTAGAATTGTAGGTGTAGTAGACACTGATGGCTACGTAACTGTTAAAAAAATCAGTCGTGTGCCAAGCTGAGGCATTTTTCCATTAGAATGCCATTAGGAATAGATACATTGTTTTGTGTTGAATCAAATGTTCGGTCTTAAAGGTTGAAAGTGATTAAGCAAACTTAGTCCTATTCTGAACTGAACATTATTTCAGACATTGAAAGCACGAACATTTTCAGGATTTTTTCCCCAGGTTTAGTCTCTCTCCTACCCAGCCAAAAACACATTACTCCTATATAGACAAATTTATAAACAGTCATTTGGTTGGTAGGCTTGACTGAATATTTTTTTATTCCAAGCTAATTCTAATAGGAGTTTTTTGCACATGGCTGAATCCTCTTAAGAGGAATTTTACTCACTGGTATGGTGACACCTACTTGATGTGCACTTTTGGGTAGGACTAAGAAGATGAGAATGATGAAGGAAACGACCACTGCGGGGCCTAGAAGACCACCCAGAGACTGTAGTGAGCATGTGGAAGTGGGCGGCAACGGATTATAATGATTTCTTGGAAAAGTAATGAATATTGTAATTAGTTCTTGGGAATTCCATGCATGTGTAAGTGAATTGTGTGGAAATATCATCAACTCCACTACGGCGGTATGCATATTAGCAGGAATGATCCCCGACGCGTCGAATAAAGAATACCTGCTGAGTGGCTCTGCCGGCTGTGG